TTGACAGATTAAACAGCCTCAAACCCGGGTAATAACAACACAATTTTAATTGTATTTTTTAGGCAATTTTTAATTTAATTTTTTAATAAATTAAATTAACAACATTTATTTTATTGATTTCATTTGAATTATCGACTATTTTTGCTTATTTAAAAAAGAAATTTTAATTTTTTTAATCTAATTAAGACATATCCCCCGTTTAGAGGTTATTAATTAAAACTATTTTTAAGATTATCTCAATAATTATTTGTTGAATCAAAAACTTCTTCGAATAAATCTTGCTTAAAATTCGATTTTGAAGAAATAATCTTAACAAAAGAATTTTATAGCTTTATTAGGTTATCACTTCTATAGGTATAAAACCCCATTTTTTGTGGGTTTCCCATGTTTGATGACCTTTTAATGAATAATAACCAAATTTCTGATTTCTCCCATTACTTTAATCGTCAATTATGACGTTTTGTTGTTCCTTTGTCCCCCAATGGTTTTCGATAGCCCCTTTTTGGTGGTAAAACGTGTTGTTTTCCCATCGTTTTCCTTCGTTTTCGTTGTTGTTGACGAAGGCGCGTCAAGAACATCTTGCTTTTCACACGTTCCGGACGTGTTACGTTTGGCGGCCGTTGACGTGCCTTGACCACATTTATTACCCAGACCATTTGTTAACGTTTTCCCGTTTCTTTAGGGTACAAAAGTGGATATATTTTCGAAAAGAAACAATTTTTATTTGATTTTATTTTTGAAAAAAGTAAAAAACCTTTGAAGCTTGAGGCTAAATCGGTAGCCGAAGCGAGTTTTGGGTTGTTACGCCGTAATTTCGCCTGACATATTTGAAATATATCGACCAAACAACCTATCATTATCTCCTATTAAGGCCCTTTTGAAATTTACCTGTTTATTATCGGGCGCGGTTGTTGTCGGAGACTTCTTCTTCGAGCTTCTTGACCTTGTTGCTAAAGAATTTACGCCACAACGCAAATGAATCACGAAAAAGAAAAAAATCGTTTTGAATTATTTGAAATTCGCGGGGTTATCTCTAAATTGGGTTCTAATTATAATTTAAAAAAAATATTTGTTTTTAAATATAAAAAAATCTTTAATAATTTGAAATAAAACATAAAATTATATGTTTTAAATCGAATTAATTAAAAATATAAAGTAGAAATTGCCCAAAATAGGAAATTTAATTCGATTTCTTAATCCCCGTTAGAGGCTATAAATTAATGACTTGTCACCTTTCAAAATAAAATTTAATAATTTCTTTTTACATTTATTTAATTTTTTTTTAAAAACTCAATTTATCTAAATCTAAATGAAATCAACCTAATTTTATTAATAAATAAAAGTTAAATTATTAATTTAATTCGATAATCAGCGACATAAATTCATCGACATATAATTTTATGGATTACTAAAAACATCAAATTATTAATTTATTTTTAAATATTTACAATTTATTAATACACACTTAACTTAACCTTAATTCAATCAATTTAACTTATTTTAATTATTAAATAAAAATAAATTCACCCAAGATTATTTCTTTAAATAAAAGTCGATCTTTAATTTTTATATCATTGAGTTGCTTTTAGTTGTTGACAGTTAACCGTCTTTCCAAACGCGATCGTATTTTGGAAAAAAGTCGTTAAAAATTAACTTTCTGAATCAAGAAATTGTTCCGAATCGATTCAATTAGCATTAAATTAAGTATTTCAATAAGTTATTTCATTGCACAACTCGGTTAAGGAGAGTTATTTAAAGATTTTTTTTTGTAAAAAACAACAATTGAAAAACAAGCTTTTTATTACTTATTGACAGGTTTGGGGTGAAATCGTTGAAAATTGGTGAAAAATTAACTTGGGCGATTAAAAATTTGGTGGAAATCGTTTCCTGACGTGATAAGGTAAGAGTCTTGATAAATTTTAGACGAGAAGAAAAATTTTGATTAATAAATATTTTAGGTCGTTTTCTGAGATAGCTGTGAAGTTAGTTTTTACGTGAGTACTTAATTTTAAAAATTTATAAAATAAATTTATATTTCAAAAACACAATTAATTAGGATGACGTAATTTGAATTGTGGATATTACACTAAAATCTTATTGTTAAGTTAATATTAATTTTTGAAGTAAATCAACTTAAATAGGATATAGTGCGACATCTCTTGATGAAAGGTGAAACTAAACCGTAATAACTATATCACATCTAAAAACGTAATCTATTTTTGTCGAAAATCGTGTTTTTGCGTGTTATTTGTGGTGGTAAATATTTGTTTGGTAAACTTATTTATATTTATTCAGTCTTTTTTAAGACTCTGTGGTGATTTGGATAAAAATTGTGATAATATATACTCATAAATTAATCTTGTTAATATTTTCCCATAAATAAGATGATTGAGCAAAATAAATCTTAATGAGGATTTAATAATTATAAAAATATCTCTTTTAGCCTTGTGTTCGAAAATCTATTGTATTTTAGAAGATGTGGTGAAACTGTGTAAAATGTGACGAAAAAGTCGTCTCATTAACACTAAAGCACATCTTACAACAAGTGTCAGTAATAAAAACGTTAGTTACGTTTCTGGAGGGAAAATTTTCAAAGTTATTTGATGCTATAAGAGGCCAGAAGAAAATAAATCTACAAATCTGCTGAATCACACTTTATTCTGTCTATGGAAGTATGTAGAAGACATGCTTCATTGCATAATTCCACACTACATGATAATTTCGCAAACTTTCATGGGCTTGCCATCAAAATAATTTTTTATGCGTTATTGAAGTCCGAACGTGTAAGACCAGCCGTGAAAGCCTTCGTATTTGTAGGTGAAAATCTTATAAAAAAATTCAAGAAGAGTCAAGAACTTGACACGGTTTAATTACTCCTGATGTATAAGCAATTTTGAGGTTATTTACGCCCAGCAACTTTAAAAGGTATTCAGGTTTTGTATCAATTTTGTATCGCTGCTATACCTCGGTCACAATTGATTTGTGTGTAATTAGTCTTGATATTGTTATTTTTGTATGTACAGTAATACATTATAATAACATTAGTTGAAAGCTTTATTTATTAGAAAATCAACTTTGGCGGCGAGGTACATGACGCCACAACGCTTCCCAAAATTTTAATCCTCTCAAATCAAAACTTTACAAAACTCTCAGTGTAATTTAAAAGTGTAAACACAAAAAGAAATGCCCAGTAACCTATTTAATTAAATGCTTTTGTAAACTTTGACGTATTCTCCTGATGATGCTATAACAAATAGCGAAACCGGTAGAGAAATAATTAAAATAAAAATGCATTTAAAGTGCGAAAACGAATTTTATGTATAACTTTATTTATTTCCTTAGATATTAGTTATTATGTCAACAAATAGGAAAGAATTTGATTCTCTAAATTTTCCAACAAAACTTAAAACTTTAACACTTGAACTAAAACACAGTATTGTGAAGGATTTTGAAGAAGGTATGAAAACATGTGAATTGGCACACAAATTCAACCTTGCTTACACCACTGTTCATACAATAATAAAAGATAAAACTAAAATTCTTGACGTTGTTAAAAAAGCTTGAAACCTTGCTTAATGTATGGTGTAAAAACCAAGTGATGGTCAAAAATTGTCCAGTAGACCAGAATACAATAAGTAAGTAATCAAGCCTGGCAGATTTGTGAAACGTTAAAAGACCAAGCTGGAGATGATGCAAAAGATGAAACTTTTGTAGCTAGCAATGGTTGGTTTTGACGTTTTAAAAAAAAGTTGCGTTTGGCACAATATTGTATTAATAAAACAAATTAAACATATAATGTCATTAAATGCACTAATAAAATTAGTTCCTCTGTCCGAAAAAATACGGGTACAGTAACCACGGCGTGCAATAAATCTACGAAAAGCAGCCATAAATGCTTCGGTACTTAAATCGGAAACCAATTCTAAGTGAACGGCCTTGGTGGCAGCGCACACGAAGAGACAAACATACGATTTGAACGTCTTGGCACCACGATGTTTACCGTCGTAATTAATTCCAACTGCGAAAAATGGTTTTATCTGTTGCACCCGAAACTTTGGTAAGTCTGCCATCAATGGTGTGAACGACTTAGGATTTGTTTTGAAGCATTTAGTTTGGTTACATCGAGATATAACCCTGTATATGACAGCCAGGATGTAAATGCTCTTGATGCAGCTTTTCGACAATCAGTTCGCTAAATCGACACTTCTTTTGTAATTGAATGGGATGTTTAGCCTCGTAAGGAATTTCAGCATTTCGAAGGCAACCCAACCCACGCGAATTAAATTTTCTTGACATATAAAAGGTGATAATTTACGGAATGATTTTGCGATTATTTTACCAGTCTGGATCTGGTGAGTTGGGAAAACGATTCAGATTGTACTCGACGTGCGAGAACATAAAGAGCGGCTTGCTTTTCGCGAATTGTGTTTGATAAATTGGAATGGTTATTTTCTTTTCAACAAATCTTAGAATATAAGCAATTATATTTTGTATCTTACTTAAAACGGAGAAGCGATTCATTAAAGTATGTAACAAGTTTTCTTCTATTTGTTCTGCAACATTGACGATAACCACTCGTTTTTCTTCTGATATGCTCTCATCTGGACGTGTAGGTGGTGATTTCGATGGCCATTGCGAATGATGAGATGACAACCATGCAGGTCCGTTCCACCAAAATTTACATCGTATCATCTCGGAAGGTAAAAGTCCTCTTGAACCAGGATTATCTTTTGATTGTACATAACGCTAACGATTTCCAGGTAAAATATCCTGAATATGACTGGTACGGTTCGCCACAAAAGTTTTCTATCGGTGAGGGGACGAATCGAGCCAGTTCAGCACTACCATTGAATCGGACCATGCGAAGATCTCAGGTTGAACGATACCGGAGATATTTGATAAGATAAATTTCGCCATATTAGCCAACAGGACGGCGCCACAGAGTTCCAGTCTAGGTAACGAAATAGTCTTTAGCGGGGCTACTCTCGACTTGGCACAAATCAACTGACATTAATATTGTAATTAGGCAAAATGTATTGAAGGTACGCCACCGCACAGTACCCAACTGAAGATGCATCAGAAAACAGATGGAGCTCAACGTGTAAATCTTTAGCGGGAAGAATTAACCTGGGAATTTTCAACTGTGACAACATTGGGATTTCAAACTGATATTGAGTCCAATAATTTTGAATTTCCTCGGAAGGGAGATCGTCCCAATTCAATTTTTCTAACCATAATCGTTGCATGAGGCATTTTGCAGCGAGAATACATGGCGTAATTAAACCAAGGGGATCAAAGATGCGTGCGATATTGTATAATATAACCCTTTTACTGCGGATGTGATCACGGGGTTGATAAGAGAACTTAAAATTGTCGTTATATTGCTCCCAGTGGAGACACAGAACCTTGACGACACCATCTTCTCTATTATCTAATGATACCGGTTTTACACGAAGATCGGCACTAAAGTTTTTTAATAGTTTAGGTTCGTTACTTGCCCACTTAGCTGACTTAAAGCCAGCCAATAACATAATGTTTATAATTTGATTTTGCAAGTCAAACGCGTTACGTACCGAAAAACTTCCCGTTACGTCATCAACGTACATGTCGTGTAATAATACGCGGGAAGCTTCAGGAAATTGTGCTGCATTAAGTCGCGCAAGCTCTTGGATAGTACGCAAGGCCAAGTACGGAGCAGAAGAAACTCCGTAGGTAACGGTATTTAATTGGTATTCACTAAGTTCACCACTTTTATAATCTCTCCATAAGATGCGCTGATAATCGCGATGATGGGGAATTATTAAGATTTGTCGATACATTTGTTGAATGTTACACATGAAGGCAATCGGGTAACATTGAAACTTGATTAGAATTGAACATATATCGTTTTGAAGTTTGGGACCAGGCAACAAAAGATCGTTCAACGAATTTCCGGTAGAAGTTTTTGCAGATGCATCAAAGACCACACGGACTTTGGCTGAGGAATTAAGGACATAATGATGAGGGATATAATAAGCGTTCTTGATGTGGTGATCTTCTTTGCTAATCAGAGACATGTGGTTCTTTAGAAGATAATCGTTCATAAATGCTTTGTACTTCTTGAAAATTTCAGAATTTTTAGTCAACCTTTTTTCTAAGTATATAAAACGTCGCAGTGCCTGGGAATATGATTCACCTAATTCTAGGTTAGTATTTTTAAAGGGTGGTGCTACCATAAATCGATCATCAGCGGTACGGCTGTGCGTTGATATGAAGTGATTTTCGCTTTGAGTATCTTCTGGAGTAACTGGGTAGTTTCCTTTATCTGTTCAAGCTCCCAAAACTTCTGAAGGCAGACGTCAGTCGATGGTTCAATCAAAATTGACCCTCAATGGGTATAGAGTGAACACTTCGAACAAGTTGGAGTCGTTTTTGAAGGTCTTCTGTGATGAAGTTGAATAGAAGAAGGCGGTTATAGCACACATACCATATTTAATGCAGACGAGACAGGGCTTTTTTGGAAGAAAGTGCATCATAGAACGTTCATTGCACGCCAATAAAAAAATATTTCTAGGATTCAAAGCATTGAAAGATCGATTAACAGTTATGCTTGGTGGAAGCGCTGCTGGCGATTGTAAACTAAAACCTTTGTTGGTGTATCACTCTGAAAACCATAGAGCCCTAAAGACTAAAACAAAATCAGAATTGCTAGCAATTTGGAAGTCCAATCGGAAAAAGCTTGGGTTACTACATCTTTATTTGAAGACTGGTTTGGAAATCATTTTATCCCAGAAGTTGAACGGTACTGTTCCTCTAAGGCGTAGATAGTGCCTCGGCCACAAGCGACCTCGGCTTAATCACTCTTGACGTCGTTGAATGCTGGTAGTTTTTGAATCGATATGGTACTGAGATAGCGCCTCGGCCGCAAGCGACCACGGCTTAATTGCTCTGGATTTTGCTGAATCATTAGTAATTTTGGTATCAATAAGCGGTTATTATAGATAGTACCTCGGCCACAAGCGACCTCGGCTTAATCACTCTTAATGTCGTTGAATGACGGTAGTGTTTGAATCGATATGATATTGATGTAGTTGGTAGCGACCTCGGCTTAATTACTCTTAACATAGTTAAATGTCAGTAGTTTTTGAATCGATATGGCACTGAGATAGCGCCTCGGCCACAAGCGAGCTCGGCTTAATTACTCTAGATTTTGCTGAATCGTTGATAGTTTTAGGATCAATATCACATACTTACCAATAGAAAATCAGATACGGGACATACGATTAAATTCCTTGGTCTTCCTTGGACTCAGGTGCAAAAAAAACGCAACAAGCTAATATTTGGTAAAGTTTGAAATGTGATAACTTTTTTATTTTTCGTTCAATTTTCATGATTTTTTCAGCAAACTGTAGATACAAATGTCTAATTTCATGTTCAATATCCAGCCTTTTGTTAACTGCTGGTCATTTAGTCGGTATACAGGGTTAATTGAAACGTCGTTCTAGGATCCTAATTTTAAAACACCCCGTGGAATAATTTAGTGTATAAATAGTTTCAAAATTATAATTTTTGTTAAGAACCATTCGTTCCTTACATTTTGTTTTTTTGGTTCATGTCTCTAAATGCATTCGTTCATTTTTAAGAGCGAAATGAATTTGTCACTAACAATTTATTTAAGATGTTACTTTTTAATAAGGTGGCTTTGCTCATTGTTATTCTAATGACAGTTGGATAGTGATTTTTTGTACAGAAGATTAGTACCATGGTTTTAAGTGCTGAAAATTGCGCTAAAGTTGTTGCTCTTGTTGAAGATGGGCGTAATTATGAATACGTTGCAAGAATCCTTCATGTTCATCGCTCCACTATTAAAACAGTGGTAGAACCTTTTACACAAATTGGAAGAAGTAAGAGAAGGGCAGGAAGCGGTAGAAAACGAAAAACCATTGTTGTTGATGACAGATTTATACGTGTTATAGCTTTGTTGAAAAATGAGCTTCGACAGGTCCGAGGTACAAATGTGAGTGCGTGAATAATTCGCCTAACACTAAAGGAATCTGGGTTGAAAGTTTGCAGACCAGCAGTTGGACCCAAATTGCTTTCGCGCCACAGGGTGGCTAGATTACAATTTACCACCGAACACTTACATTGGGATTTGAGGCAATGGAACAATGTTCTCTTTACCGATGAATCCAGGTTCTGCTTACATTCTGCAGATGGGCGGAAAAGAGTGTGGAGAAGAAATGGCGAAAGGTTTGGGGAATGCACATTCAGCCCCCGTCTGAGCTATGGAGGTGGTTCAGTAATGGTGTGGGCAGGAATAAAACGGGAAGCCTGCACTGATTTGGTCATCATCGATGGATCATTAACTGCCCACCGATATATCGAAGAAATATTTGTCAATTACGTGCAACCCTTTAGTGAGTTTATAGACGATGATTTTATCCTAATGTAGGATAATGCATGGCCTCATACAGCCATGTGTGTTACGCAATACCTTAATGAACTGGGTATCAATAAAATGAACTGGCCAGCATGTTGGCCCGATCGAAATCCCATCGAGCATGTGTGGGATATGCTTGGTAGGCGAGTGAGAGACCGCGAAGTAGCTCCAGCTTATGTACATGAACTGCGAATAGTTCTTCAAGCAGAATGGCAAAACATTACGCAGCAGTCCATTTGTAATGTTATCGACAGCATGAATCTCGACGTATGGAAGCTGTGATAAGAGTTAGAGGTCGTAACACAAAATACTAAGATAAATATTTTGTAAAAAAGTGGTACATAGGGTACATACGTTTCAGGTTAGAATTGAATTATTTTGCATTAATAAATTCTCTTATTTTCTGTCTTTTTAATTTTTTCTCTTTTTTTTTTTCTTGTTTGCTTTTCTTACCTTTTTTCTTTTCATTGGTTGTCTCACAAACTGATGCTATCAAACTGTCATTAGAATAACAATGTTTAATAAGTGTTTTAAAATTAGGATCCTAGAACGACGTTTCAATTAACCCTGTATACCGACTAAATGACCAGCATTTAACAAAAGGCTGGATATTGAACATGAAATTAGACATTTTTATCTACAGTTTGCTGAAAAAATCATGAAAATTGAACAAAAAATAAAAAAGTTATCGCATTTCAAACTTTGCCAAATATTAGTTTGTTGAGTTTTTTTTGCACCTGAGTGTATATATGAATTCCATTTCAGGTGGGAATCTATGTTAACACCAAGGAATTTAATCGTATGTCCTGTATCTGACTCTTTATTGGTAAGTATGAGTGATTGCGTCTTTTTTTTTTCATTGAGTCTTAGCTTATTGCTGGCGAACCACTCTTTCGCTTCCAGCTCGACTTCTTCGGACCTTCCGAGGAGTTCCTGTCTATCTCTAGACGTCACCAACAGCGAAGTATCATCATTGCGAAAGGCCCTAATATGTGGTAAATATTAGCTTGTTGCGTTTTCTTTGCACCTGAGTGTAGAATACGTTACAAAAAAGTGTTACAGCATCCTACCTCATCAGAAGAATAAGGATTATCTCAACCCATGAAGCTGCTAGAACTGCCTACTTCAACTTTAATTCCATAAGGTAGAGTAGAAGTACCGGCTATACTTGTTAGCCAATTGTAACGAAATTAATATCGGGTATAGCAGCCAAAGCGCTGGATTAAAAGAAAACTATCCTTTTATAACGTTTAGCTTTCGGTCTTTATTTAGGCCTTCATCAGAACATTAAATCTACAAAAGTACAATAAATCAAAAAATGAACAATGATAACAATAATTATGTTAACAAGCTCCTGTTTAATGTTACTAAAAATATTAATGTTTCTCGTACCAGACCGGTACCGTCTCGCTGTGAATTGAGATTCTCGCTCCTGCCTTTTATTCCCCAATTGACTCAAAAAATAGTTTCCATTCTACATTCTGTAAAGATTGCCAAATATAACTATAGACCTATGCGACAGCTTTACACCAACCTCAAGGACCCTACTCCAACCAGTTTGAAGTCCAATGTCGTTTATAAAATTCCCTGTGGTGTGTGTAATGCTGTATGTGTGGGTACGACTTCACAGTATCTAAAGAAACGCCTCAGTCAACATGAAGTGGATTGCCGTAACCACAGGGATAATAAGTCTGCCCTGGTTAACCACTACCTTTCCACGGGTCACAAGTTCGACTTCGATGCGGGCTCGATACTCTGTCAAGAGCCCAACTATAAGCAAAGGCTTTTCCTTGAAATGGTTTATATTAATCAAAAACAGTCCTCGATCAACTCAAGGACTGACACCCAAAACTTGAGCATCATCTATAAATATGTTTTGTCCAAGAATGGCCACCCCCCAACCCTGAAGTTTCGGGAATTTTCTTCTAACCTTGGTTTTTTTGAGTCCTTTGAAATTTCCCGCTAATTTGTCGATATATCGACCCCGTTATGCGCTTGCGCGTCCTTCGGCAATATGGCGTACGTCTTTTCAACGTGGTTGTACGTTTCTGTAGCTCTTAGAGTTTTTGGTTTTCTCCTCTCTTGTGTTTTGGTTTCACCTGCCTTGTGACGTGTTTGTTTTTTGACGCCCCCGTTGCCTGATTTTCCAATTCTTTTGCTGGTTGTTCAGCGGTCTTCAACCGTTGACATGCACTTAACCTCACTTTTTTTGGCGCTCTGTCCGTAAGTTATTGTTCATTTTTTGATTTATTGTACTTTTTGTAGATTTAATGTTCTGATGAAGGCCTAAATAAAGACCGAAAGCTAAACGTTATAAAAAGATAGTTTTCTTTTAATCCAGCGCTTTGGCTGCTATACCCGATATTAATTTCGTTACAATTTAATTCCATACTTCAATATGGCATTGAGGTGTGGGGATCATCGCCTCAAACTTCCAAGCTCTTAATCCAGCAAAAGACCGCGACGTAGCTGCAGAAGCATATTTAAAGCGATGCAAATATTAACTGTCCCTAGCGTCTACATACTGGCGGCAGTTACCCTTCTACATAAGAACAAAATGAGATATTCATCTCATAGTGATATCCACCAACATGACACTAGTCAAAAGAACGGGATCGTCATTCTACAACACCGCAT